CTTCTCTTTTGTGTTTTTGAGACAGCAGTAGCTTGTTACACAGCTGGTCACAGACTCACTATATAACCCATGCTGGCTCTAAACTTGTGATCTTTCTGCCTGAGCCTATAGAGTGTGGGGAATACAGTTGCATGGCACCTCAAGTCGAATTTTTCTTCTTAGCCTGCCCAATTCGCACCTGTCTTGAGTCTGGGTTGTTCTGACCAAATATATCCTTGGCTTCCTCCTAGTATTTGTATCTAAAGGTCAGTTATGAGAATAAAATAGTTATGCTTCGCTACAATGAATCCTCTACCATCCCAGAGTAATAAGTAGCTCATGCTGTTCTTGCTCCTGGATTCCAACTCTGAAGCAGTCAGTGAGTCTCTGAGTGAGGCAGAAGTCCTGGTTCTGATGCTTCCAGTCACTTCCCATCCACTTTCCCTCACAGCCCTCTGAACTTCAGCAACCATGAGGTTCCTGAATCTAAGCAACAGGAAGCTTCCTCATGGCCCCTCTTGCTTTCCTCCCCATTTCTTCAGTGTTGATTCTAAAAGCATTAAATTATATATAAAGTTATAAAAATACTAAAAATATCAAAGAATAAATAAACTATTCTATTGAAAAATAAAATACTAGCTGGGTGGTGGTGGCGCATGCCTTTAATCCCAGCAATCAAGAGGCAGAGGCAGAGGCAGAGGCAGGTGGATCTCCATGATTTGGAGACCAGGCTGGACTACAGAGTAAGTTCCAGGACAGCCAAGGCTACAAAGAGAAACTGTCTCAAAACCCTCACCAAAAGAGAAAGAAATAAAAACAAATTATTAATACAATATGATCCTTAGATTTTTATGTGCTTTTAAACATATTTAATTTACCCACCATGCCAGTGACACACTTAAGAGAATTGCTATTGTCTCCATTTTCTTTTTGTTTTGTTTTTGAAACAAGGCTGTCCTTGAACACACAGAGATTTGCCTGCCTCTGCCTACTGTCTTGAGTAGGGATTAAAGCATGAACCACTATGCCAGGCTTGTCTCCATCTTATGAATGAAGAAATGAGTGGGTTGAAAAGGCCAAATCATATATTTCTTTTTTCTTTTCTTTTTTTTGATTGGGTGCATTGGATTGAACTTAGCCCTATATATTTTAATTCAATGTCCTGTCATAACACCAGTGTTCCCCTGACAGGATTTGTTTCTCTACAGTGATATGTACTTCAAATACTTAGAAAAGACTAACGCTGTTAGTTTACAGACTATTTCGGGTCGGATCATTTGAAATTTGTCTGACCCTTTCACTTTTGTACATACCTTTCATTTTCAATGAAGGTTTTATTGTGATTCTGATGTTTCCTTAAAATAAGTATCTCCTTACAGTTCAAAACTAATTACTGCTTTTAATGTACAACCAACATGTACATCAGCATGAGTGAAGTCTGGTGAGAAGTATTACTCTTCAGCTCTGCAGAAGTTCAAAAGGCCAGGGCTTACAGAGAGTAAAAACCATGAAACAGGAACAGATACTGGCGAGGCCTCTCCTGATTGCTATCTTCCAAATTACTGACCAGGCAGTGTAAACACAAGAAAACACTGTGAAACTCAAGTCCCTAATGACAACACAGTAAACAGTGAACCAGGGCATCCACATGCCTGAAAACTGGAAGTTCCTGCATACACATTTAAATATTACCATGACAAGTTCCACTGGTCATTCAATCTTCAGGCTGTCACACTGCAGAGCCCAAACAATGAGGTGTCCTATCTTAAAACCAATCTATTGCACATGAATGGAAAATTGAGATGTGAACACAGAAGTTATGAATCTCTTTCAACCACCATCTGTTTGAGATCAGTACAAAAGGTCTCTAAACTTAAAAGCAGCAAATACATAGACATGTGTTTATGAAAGGTGAAAAGGACTGGTCACTGGTTCTAAGCATGAATATCTCATTACTCCAACATTCTAAAATGCTACATGTCATCTGAAATGGTAAGAGTAGACAAACACATTTTTCAAAGGTAACCTTATGAAGCAAAGGACAAGCAAAGGACACGGTCAACACATTACTAACCAAAAGGACAATTCTGCCCATGGATGGTTAGCAAAGGTCTAAGAACTGAGGGTAACTCAGTGCTTTCAGAGAGAAGCAGTAGGCATAGAGAGATGACACATGTCATGGAGAGATGACATGCTGGTTAAGAGCACTGGGTTTCTTTCCAGAGGACCCAGGTTTTCTTGCCAGCCCCAACGTGGTGGCTTACAACCATCTGGTTCCAGGGGCTCCAACACCCTCTTCTGGCTTCCTTAGGCACCAGGCACACAAGTGGTAGACAGAATATATATATATATATATATATA